GCAGCTAAATCAAAGGGTGATGAATGCTTTTATTGGACATTGGATCATAGCATCCCATGTTAGTGGCCGCCGCACGCAATGGTCCAATGAAAGTCGAAAGATTAACAAATGAACCTTGACATCAAGAATGTCTTCGCTTTCTGCCTTGCAGGCTTTCTAGTACCAGAGCACTCAACTCATGAAGTCTGGCACATTACAAAGTCCGTAGATTTCTTTCAGGGTTTAGGCTTAGGGCAGTTTAGGGTAGTATGCAGGCCTTGTGTGGTGGCGTGTTTGGGAATCGTGTCCGAAGGTAACCACACCGGATGCAAGGCTTCTTGATGATACCAGACCCAGCAATGTGTTTTTGCTTCACTGAGCTCGTTAAACCCCGCCCAGAATGATCAGAGAATCGAAAATCTACACTGGGCTTGAAGGAGTCTGGAATTGGGCACGCCAAAAAACTCGCGGAAGCCTGAATTGGACCTTGTGTCTAGGGTTTAGGGATTTGAGGGTTTACGTCAGGTAGAAGCCTCTTCCTCCAAATCTTCCTCCAAACTACTGCTTGCCATCAGGGCGCATTGAGAGTATTCGCCAAATGAAATCCAAAACGCAAAGGAATGGAGGAACGCGTGCCGTGCCCAGAAGGCGGCGCGAAAGGGCTTGAGCCAAACTGTCAAAAATAGATATTTTGCTGTGGTAGTGGTACGGTCAATGGTTGTAGGGTAGAGAGGCATAGAATCTAATTAGGCTTTTGGTCTCAGGCTCCTCTGAGCCCGGTGGTAGTTAAGTTTGGGTCTACAGGAGTGGAATCTAGCCACGATAACATTAGTAATTAGTATGACATGCATATACGCCTTTCTGCACAACGACTTGTCTTTGGAGAACGTCTGCGGACACAAGAAGCTACGGCAGCTACGAAATCTACCACAGAATGCCAGAGAGGACACATCGAACCCATGGTCCGCTCTCGGTTCGCCTCGACCTCGAGAGCCTCGACCTGCCCAGAAGGCGTACAACCCAAAAGCGTCTCTGGTGACTCTGCACTTCATAGGGGCTCCCACTTTGGCCTTCCGCGACTCCAGCGTTAGGAGCTAGGCGGCCTGCCTAGCATCCTCATACTGCGCTGATGCAAACGGGGGTTTGGGCTGGGGTTGAGGAACACAGAAACGCCAACCTTATTGGCCCTCAACCCACTCCTCCACAAGCACCTGTACGACAGCTCGGTTCCCAAGTAAGCTCGGGTCCCAAGTAGCTCAGGGGACACAACAAGGAACATGTTTTTCTCTCCAAGCGGATAGAGAACCCCTAAACCCCAAATCCTAAACCCTAAACACGGGGTGCCAGGATAAGCGGTGGTGTCCTGCCTCGCTCCTTCCGATACGACGCCACCGGACTGAGCCTGGCCTTGCCAGTCTTCCCTGGGGGGAGGCCCCGGCAGTTTAGGGTTTAGGGTGAACCTTTGGGCTTCAAAGGGGGTTAGAGGCCTGTTCAATTATTATAGGATGATACTATCTGTATACATATATATATATATACACATACATATAAGTATATATATATATATGAGTTTGTCAATTTGTAGCACCTAGAAAGGTTACCTGCTCAGCACCTATCAGTCTTTGGGTTTTTATGGGAGGGAGGGGGGGAAGGGCGCGATTCGCGCCAGCAGGGTCTACTTGCGATTGTAATGTGTGCACCATGTGCACCCTCACTGCTCAATCATTGTAGTGTATAACCCCCCCAAAACAAAATGTTCAAACTTCAAGGCCGTGTGCCGCCCCAAGGATGAACCGAAAGAATCAAACTGCATTCTTCGAAGCGCCGCTCACGGTTTGCTGTGGCTAGGGTTGGTAGGAAGGTTTGAAGTCTCAACTCAGGGCATGTGTGGTGCATTGAACTCAATGCAATGCACACCCAGCGAAATGGCCGGAGTTTGCCCAAAAGCCTGATACTTGGTGGTGACACGTAGTATCTGATGCCTGCCGACAGCATCCGGAAGCAGCTCGACCTCAGCACAAGGCAAAAGTTTCGCATGGCTACTCATGATTCGGGGAATCTTCCGCTAGCTTGCATGGAGTTCATGTTATGACCAGCGGCATACCAACACAAAATTCGCAAGTGACTCCAAACCACCTGGAAGCAGGCTATACGTTTACAAGCACGAACCCTAGCACTGATTCCAGGATGTCAAGAACCGGGTTGTAGTCCGCGATGAATTCCAATATCAGGTTTGCAACCTCTGCACGCCACTGCATGGGATGTGGAGTGTTTACTTATACCGTGTGCCCGCCAACTTTACAGCTTGCAAAACAAGTCTTCAATATAGAGCGTCTACCCTACGAAAGTGCAACATTACAGCATGGCATGTCCTTGAACGTCCAACTCAATCCAGCGCAGAGGCCTAACCTTTGAGTGACTAGCCTAAGCAGCCCAAATTTGGCTACTCGGCTGTGGCGGTTAGTCATAATAGACAGTAACCCTCCGGCACGATCGTGCAAAACTGCTGCGGGGTTTCAGGGCTGTGGCTGACATGTGGCCCGCTATGACAGCTCGCGCTTTTTTACCGGACGCCTTTCATTCAGCCCTAGAAAGACTCCGGGATCCATTGGCCCAAGGCGGCCCAAAGCATGTTGTTCAGGACTGCGGGTCCATAACTTAGTACCTTAAGAACTTCAAAGCTACTAGTTTGGTAGGCTACCTAAGATTGAGAGGGGGTATTAATTCTAACCTACAAAATGCAAGCTTTGGGTGTTAAAGGTAGGGTTTAGGGTTTAGGGCTTCTGCGATGGGCCAAAAGCAGTGTCAAAGTGGTAGTTTTTTGAGGAGGCTTGAACCGGGATGGGTAGCAGGATAGCAGCTACGGAATAGAAAGCGGCGCAAGATCTGGCATGTCGTACTATCAGTAGAAACTCTACCAAGAATCCGAAGGCTCGAAGTGGTGAGGAAACAAACCACTCTGCAGCGCAAATGCTGTAGACTCGCAAGTACAAGTGCTACCATTCAAGGCTACCAAAGCTTGCAAGAACCTTGCAGACATCCCAAACCTTAAGCTCTAAACCTTGAACCCTACACCCCAGTCCACCCTTGCAAGTCAGCTGTCAATTAGCTTTGGGCCCTGGGCTGTCCCCAGCTCAGTTTTTGTGGCCTCATGCTGGGCGCGCTCGCGCTCCAGGGCCTTGCCAGAAGGTTTGGGGTTTCAGGTCATTGGTTTAGGGTTCAGGGTTTAGGTTTAGGGTTTAGGGGTTAGGGTTCATGTGGGTGCAGCACTGGCTCGTGGCTGCGTCCATGACAGTGTCGGCCACGGTCCATTTTTGTCGAGTTCCCGCAGGGTCTATCAATCACCGTTTCTGTTCCAAGTGGTGAGGTCAACAGGAAGGTACAGGAAAATGATGGGGGGGCATTCAAACATGACAGCCGATCCGCAAAGGAAGCTTGCATGTATGGGTTGTCTTGTAAGGCTTCAGGTCACAATGTCCGTATGGTAGGCTGCCAAAGAAAGCATGGACGTCATCCAGAAGCAGGGTCGTGTGATCATCGTAAAGCTCGGGTCGCGCCGTGTCGCTTCTGAATTTAGCTAGGCCACAAACTGCTGTTTTTTTGGAGGATACCCTCTTTGTCGAGGGTAAAACTTGAGGACACGTAGTCAGATTTCCCGAGCATAGGTCGTCACAACTCCACAGTTTGCGAGGTGCTGTTGGGTTTCACCACTGTGGTTCACGAGTCTTAAAGAGGTTTAAAGAGTTTGAGGCTGGCCCTGTCAAACCTAACAATAACATCTCTACTCTACATCTAAACCCAATAGGTCACACTAAACCACATCTCCCAAGGGCCTGTGAAAATTTGCAAATTGCACAAATGGGCATTTCCCAAAATAGGGGCACCCCTTTCTTACACCACAAAAAGAATAGAATCACCTTAACAGGCCCCCCAACATGGGTACCCCTATATTCGTAAACCCCCAAACTGTACAAATTGCATCTGCGACCTCAGGTCGTCGACGCCAGACACGTGGCCGCGCACGGGGCGCATCAGGCTTTGCGCCGCAAAGCAAAGGGCGGCTCAACATGGCCCAAGAAGCTCGCATCATAACGCCAGCAAAAACTTTCCGAGTTGTTTGAGCAGAGGCACATGACAGGTTGCAACCCCTAATTCGGCCCCTTCGGAGCCTTGCGTCGTGTACCAGCTATCACAGGCAGCATTCTGCATAAAGAACTGGCTACAGGGCTCTTTTCTCGAACTGTCAATTTAACAAAATGCAAGGTTTTGTTAAAGGGCTTTTGGACTCTTGGGCAAGTGGCTCAAATAACATCATAAACCAAGGGTGCATCTGTTTCCTTAACCTGCTAAAGCAACTGGCATGGAGCCCCACCGCCTGTCAATCACGGTCAAAGGTACATCAGTTGGCGAAGAAGCAGCAGCCGAACATACTAGGAGACGACGGTTTTAGGGTTCAGGGTTTAGGGTTTACGGTTTAGGGTAGTGCACAAGGAGACGACGGTTTTAGGGTTTGGGGTTTAGGGTTTACGGTTTAGGGTCCAGGGCTTACGCTGTCAGGATGCTCTTCATGCTTGGTAGTGCATAGTGCGTAACAAGAGAACTGGGCTTTCTGGAGCCCCTTCTGCCACACATGTGGCATGTTCGACTCCATGCTGTCACAGCCAACCAATGACGAATAGTTGAATAGTCAACTGCATGTGCAAATTGATGTTGAAACAGGCACAACATTCTCTCCAAGATTTTCAAGGCTTGAAAAGATATAATGGCGTCTGCAACTCTGTGCGACTCAATGACATGCAAGGGCTTTTCAGCCCCTTGGCGCGGCAAAGAGCTGCCAAAACACCGCAGGAGGATTTTCCGAAGAAGGCTGCTTGTTAGCATGGTTTCTACTTTTGCCAACCAGGGTTCTATGTGAACCGCGCTGCATGCGGCTCCAGGCTGGAATGAGGGCCACCAAGGACCCACAAACAGGCAACCCTCTTCGGAATCCTCTTCAAACATCTCAAGTCTTGAGATCAAGATCATGCGTTGGACACTCTTCTTCCCATGAGGCGGCTGCTCCGCAGGTTCAGCTGCGGAACTCTGGTCGTCTTTACCTCGGCTTCTTGTTTGATTGTTTGATTGTTTTGTTTGGTGTGTTCCTTTGGTGCGCTCGCTGAGGATGCTTGCTTGTTTGCTTGTTTGTGTTGTTTGTGTTTTTGCTTTTTGTGTTTGTTGCTGCTGTTGCCGCTGATGCCGTCCCATGAGCTGCAAGTCTTCCCAATACCCCAAAGACAAAGCAGAATGCTTATACTGGAGCAACAGCCCAGATTCAGAGTCTTGCTCCACTTTGCTTGGCGGATCCGGGCTTGTCTCTTCGAGTGCCAGGTTTGGCGCAAACTTCGGGGGACTCCGGAAGAGCTCCATGGAGATCCTTGCTCGCAGCAACTTGGGCTTATGGTGTAATATGTGTATATCCAAGTTGTCCTTTAAGGCATGGAGAAGAGGTATAGGAGCTGCATCAATGTTCTAGATTGCCGACCCGGGAACTGCGTGGCCGTGTCGCTCAATTCGGCTGGGCCGACGGTTTGGAAAGCTTCCGCCGGCAGCTCTGTGGGCAAGTCCCCAAGCAACAGCTGAAGCCTTGAACTGCGGCAGCCGTGGTGACAATGCTTTTTCACGCGCATGGGCAGGTTTGCATACACATGGTACGGTCTCCCATGAACAGCTTACCCGTTGGTGCGCTTGGGCTTATCCGTGCTCCCATGGTTTCTTTGCTTCTTGTCTGGGTGTCTGGGATGGTCGACAATGAATCGTCTGCGATTGCTTTCCTTGGAATCTTGTGAGGATGAACTTATCTCTTTGATCCCTTCTGCCATTCGTTTGCATAGCCAGAATTGCTTCGTCCGGGCTCATTGGGATTTTCTTTACACGGCTGGCATCGACCAGAGCGTTTACTCTTGCATCGGAAGGAAGGGTATGTAAACTCCTCTGCTTGAGCTGGCTTGGCATGTCTGAATCAGCGCCCCCCCGCCAGAAATATCCCTACAACAAGAAAATGACTTGGGACGGAGACTAGAAGCTGTGCCCAAGAAAAGCTGCCGGCTTTGAGGGATGTCAGCAGGTCCTGGTACCTTTTGGCGAGGCTTGCCCGCGTCCTCGGGGTTTCCTCTCCAGAATCAAAGTCCACCCCCAGTAGTCGGACGTCCCATCCTGGGAGGCTTTAGACCAAGGGGCCCCGTACCAGATGAGGGTTTACGAAAACAAGGGACCCGGATATAGATCCCAAAACAGTAGGATTCCCTTCTCATAAGGACCCCAAGAAGGTACCCCGAATTTTCTGAAAGCTCCCATAATGAGGGCCTAAACCCTAAACCCTAGACCCTAGACCCTAAACCCTAAACCCTAAAACCCTAAACCCTTCCATCTTTTGAAAGCAGCCGGGCATCCCTGGAGTTGTGCCTGCTCCAGGTGCTCCGACTCGGATGCTGGGAGAGGTCGCCCCTCACCATCGGATTCGGGCCAAAGATCTCCTAGGATGGCCCTTAAAACCACCATTGTTGCTATTGTTGCTGTTGCTACTGTTCTTGCTACTAGTATTCTGACTAAGACTATTAATACTATTATTCTGCAACATATTCCTGAATATGAATCTGTTTAAACCCAATAAAAGGGAAAAAATGAAAAATCTCCCAAGGGCCTACCTAGTCTCCCAACACCGGCAGCTCCTGGCTCGGCGTCTTCGGCCACCCTGCGAACTGCGCGAAGCCCGCGACCTCGAAGTCAGCCTCCTCGCTGTCGCCGGAGCACTGCCTCACCTTGGCAGCCCAGGAACTGTTTAGGGTTTAGGGTTTAGGGTTTCCGAAATTAGGGGTACCTTATTGGGGTCCTTATGAGAAGGGAACCCTTCTATTTGGGGTCTGTATTGGGGGTCCCCTATTTTCGGAAACCCCCGTATGACAATAAGGGTACCTTCTTTTGCGTTTCTGTTTGGGAGGGGGTGGCTATACTTCATAAAAGGGGAAACCCATGAACCCAAAAACAAAAGAAAAGGGGGTAAGATCAAAAAGGGTCTACCACTCTGGGCTCCTCCCCAAGTTACCAGAGGGCGGCTAAAGTCGGCCATAAGACCCCCGCAGTAGGGGATGGCGGCCACATCGCCCGCGGAGGTGCTCGGGAGGACCTTCAGGCACGTCTGCACCATGATGCCGTGGGAGACAACGATCATGTTCTTCTTGGCTCGGCGCCCTCGGCTCAGGTACGTCCTTGGGCTGTTTAAGGTTTAGGGTTTATAGGGTTTAGGGTTTAGGGTTTTAGGGTCTAGGACAAACAAATACATCGCATACGTGAGCCCAGGGACAGGAAGCGCTTGGCATAACGGTGCCGGGCTTCCTTCATCTGCTCACCCCAAGAGGGCGCGTGGCCAAGGATCTTCTTCCAGCACACGCGGTGTGCTGGTGGCTTCGAGAAGCCTTGCAAGAGATTGGGTGTCCACTCCTCCGCGGGCGCAAGCGACGAACTATAAGCAGCATGTGCCAATGCTTTGCACGTGGAAAGCATTGAGCCCTTCCCCTAGTCACTTTGTACTTCGTGCTTCGGTTCTCTACCGTCCTTGATCGTGTCGTAAAGCTCTTTGCGCGAGCGCCACGCGTGGCCAGAGATGAACCTGTCAGGGTAGAAGCCTGCTTCTGGGCCTGTAAATGAGAATGAGCAAGCAACTCTCGTGTGCACAAACAACAGTAGGAAGTATCAGGCCATTTGCACAAAACTTGCGCAGCGCCTTTCGTTGGGCTCCACATCTCCGAAGACAGATGGTCCGAAAACCTCTCCGAGTTCATGGTCGAGCAGAACCACAAGGTCCAACTCGTCCTGGGCTTCAACACGCCGAGAACGTGCGGAAGTCTGAGATCGTCCAGCGAAGTCTAAAATGCTTGCTTGAATGGTTTTTGCACAGCAGTGGGGGTCGGGGCATCTAGTGGGCGGGGACGGGGCTTGTAGTTCCAGAACAGTGGATCAGAGCGGATCAAAACCAGATGCAAGCAATTTAGTCATCGTGCTTTCTCTCGCTTCTTCTTCTCTTCTTCTGAGTCTGAAGAGGTTGGGGAGTAGGAGTGCTCCCGACATACCGCTCGCACCCCAGATCTCTCTCTACCTCTCTCTCCTTCTTCGCCTTCTCCTTCTTCTTCGTCTTCGTCGTCTTCTTCTTCTTCTTCTTGAACCGACGTTGGGGTGCGCCAATAGTTCGATATCCTTCAACCTCAACGCGGACAGCACTACATTTTTGATCTCGTACCCTGCAACCACTGCTCCAGCAGAATGTGCCGGTTCTCGACGACATGTGAAGCCGTACAGGCAAAGCGAAACGAAATAGATCCACTCTTCTTCTTCTTCTTATTCTTCTTCTTCTTCTGCTTCTTCGTCTGCTCTCTCTCTCTCTCTCTCCCTCTCTTGCATGCCCAGGGTCTGCGATGGCAATGGCTGTCTGCACACACCGCAGGTATGGTGACGACACGATGATTCCGAAGTCTCCGAAGTCACGAAGCATCCGGGCCACGTGTCGTGCTTCCAGAACTGCTTGGTCACTGATTGGACAGTCACCAGGGTTGCGCTGAGAATCTTCGGTGTTGTGCCAAGCTGACCCCCACACCGAGTCCTGCGGCTCACGGTGCCGAGGGTTGCAACGTGAAAGCCTATATTATTATTATTTATTATTATTATTATTACTATGATTTTTATTATTACTATTATTACTATTATTAGTGTTATTGATGATCTCTAAAGCGCTTACAACACGCTTGAAGTAAACTACACTTGCCACCTGTACACGTGTAACTATTCTTGTTATTGTCATTATTATTCTTATTATTCTTAGAAATGTGACGGATCTCAAGTCGCAAAGGCTATCGACGTGAGTCTCGAGGCGAGGGCCACTTAACTCAAGTTGAAGTTCTCTGGGGTCGAGATTTCCCAGGAGTCGCTGGAGATCCACGGGAGGTTACCCTAAACTTCCCTCAACTAAACAGGCAGAAACCAAAAGCCCACGAGAAACTGCCATGGAAATGCAGAAGTGCAGCAAGTCCCAAGCATGTGGAGCAAGCCGGGCTCTCCTGTCGTTCGCCGTGGCGTAACACCGCCACTGCTGAATGGCGATTTGCATGGCCCACGATCGAACCTATACTCCCCTTAGAACCTTAAAAAAAATATGTATTTTAATATCCTCTGGGGTTTTTATATAAGCAGAAAACAAAACATAATTCCCAAGGGAGATATAGGAACAAGGATGCTGAAACACCAGGTTTCCAGGGGATTGCGCAAACTCAGGGGCCGCGGCTGGAGCGGCCACGGGCTCCTCGACAATGGTTCGCAAGGCCTTGCAAGATTTCGCTGGTGGCCACTCCGCCGACAAGGTCACTTCAAATCCGCTCTCCGGTTTCTCGATCTCTATTTCGACTTCCTCGAGCGGCTCTGTATAGAAACTCCGGTGCAGCGAACGGATCTCCTCTGGGCTGCGTGTTCCGAAATTTTCTTGAGTGATCGCAGCCTTGAACTCGCCTGAACGCTCCGGCAACTCGAGCAAGCTCTGGAAGAAGCTGCGACTCAACAACTGTGTAGGATCCACATTGAGAATGCTTTCGGCATCTTGTAGGGATCCCTCGACTGAAGTAGCTCGGGAGCATGCACTCTGTACGGCTTCCGGTGATTCTGAGAGCAGGCTACAATTGCCTTGACGTGAGTGCTCTTGGAACTGCTACAAAACGTGCAATTTGGGCATTGTACTTGGAACTGAACACTAAGTCTAAGCTAGCAGGAAGAACACCTTTCCAAACAACCCAGTTGCTGTGTAGAGAGGGGAATTGCCCCGTAGCCTGTGTATAGCCTCCAGCCAACGGCGTCCACTCCACTGATTCCTCACTGCTTCCCTCCTGCGTCTCTGCAACTTCCGACAGCTCTGTGTTGGAAGCGTCGCGTGACACGCCTGGGTGTTTTTTTTCTCTCAAAAAGAAGACACAAGGCAAGTCGAGGAAAGCATGCAGACAAGATGGTGCAGCCTGGAAGCGTTGGCGAGCAAGGCTGCTCTTTGCAGCGTTTGCTGCACAGTCGGTTGGGGAGAAAGCAGGCCTGAGGAATCCTTCGTGTGGGCCTGCGCCCTCGTTGATGCCCACCAAGGCCATCCAAGAGCAAAGAGATGGGCGTCCACTAACTTGGCTGCTGGGTCCTATACTACTCTCCACCGAAGACGGCAAGCTCTGAGCCCGAAGTGCTGCGCAAGCTGCACGACTCAATGCTGTTATGCTCTTTTCCAAAGCTTTATTCCGGGTGCTATTTTGTCACTTAACTGAACTGTCACGTCCAAATTTCCGCGTGCTAGGATCGAGGTCTTTGGCTCTGCATGCTTGAAAACAGACTTGCCAGCCTTCTGCGCATGCCACAGCTTCCGTTCCAGATCTGCAACGGCCCGCGCATTCCCGTGGATGGCTGCGCCTGCTGCCAATGACAAGCTGGAAGTTGGGTCCATCAACCAGCTTGTGATCTTGGGTTGCTGCTTGTTCTCCCCCTCTGTCAAAGAGTGTGGTCAGCTTTATACTGGTCAAAGGGGCCTATCCATGTGACCCGACATGAGTGCCACCAACAACCACAGTACCTTCGAGGACGGAGCCCCCCCCCCCCCTTCCCCACCCCCATCCACGTCCCCGCCGCAGGGGCACCGAAGGTGCTGCAGCCCACTCAGATATTCTAGCATTAGGCACAACGATCTTGCTAAGCACAGCCACGAACCTTGCCCAGAACTAGTTAGAGCTGTAGGTCCGAGCTTTCACGTCCTGCCTTCGATCTGCTTCTTGGCAGCAGAGCTGCTTCGTGGCTTTGACTCGCTCCGTGGCCGAGGCTTCTCTGCAGCTGGAGCTTCTGCCTCGCAGGCCAAACGCTTCAAATCCCTGAAAAGAGTCGAATAATTCGTGCTAAACATCGGGTTGATGGGTTGAACATCAGGGTTCTCGGCTCCGGAAACAAGGCTATATGGGGCCCCCTCCGCAACCAAAATAAGGGCCGAGCTGCGCGCTGCGCGGGCACCCTCGGGGCCGCGTTGCGACAGCGGCTCAGTTGCGTCCACAGGCGCTCCTCTCGAGGATGGGGGCTTCCAACATTCGTTTCCCCCAACAGTCCCCGTCCCCCCCCCCCCCCTCACCATCGGTCGTAGTGGTCTGTACTGCTCCCAGCCCACGGACCAAGGGAGGGGGGGGAGCACAGGATCAAGAGACCAAAGGACCGGGAGACCAGAGGGCCAGGCAAACGAAAAAAACCTCCCACATAAAATCTCCATGCAAAACATACTTCCTTTCTTATTTGAAACTTGGCAACCAGGCAGGGCAGCAGGACATGCAAAAAGGCGGACAGCCATGAATTCCGGTGAGGTCCTTCTCTCGGAGCAGCAGCTGCACATGTGTTCCTTGGTTGGTGTACCTAGACTGGAGCATCGCCAGCTCCGACTCCAGGTGCAGGTTCTTGGCTGCCATCTCTGCCTTTTGGCTCGACTCCAGGGACAAGTCCTGCTGCCTTGCTGCAAGTTGGGACCTGGCTTGCGATGCCTCCGCCAAAGAGTCTTCAAGCGACTGGCGGAGGCGCTGGCACTCAAGCAGCAAGTCGCTGCAAGAGGATGTCAGTTGAGCTTTCTCCTCATTGGCCAGGCTTGCTGCGGCACTGGTCTCAGCCAGAGCTTGGGCTGATTGGACTAGGGACTCCCGTAGGGCCTCCGCCTCCTCTGTCTTTACTTCTAAAGTCTGGTGAAGGCTGCGGTTGCTGGAAGAAGCCGATATCAGCGAGGCCTCAGCCATTGCCAGGGCCGCCTTCTGAGTGGCGACATCCTCTTCTGCTGCTGCCAAGTCCCGGGACAAGCGATGGTTGGCATCCTCAATCTCTTGCCACCGTCCGCCAACAGCCACTGTGACCACAGGAACGGGCGTTGCCATCGGCAAGTTTGTATGACTGTAGACTATAGCGATGTCACTTCTGCATAGCTCACAGAAAAACATCTAACCGACCCGCTTCTCTTGGGTGTTCAGCACGGTAGGCCTCCCCAATACCCATACCACCCTTGAGCCTTCAACAGCAGCGTGGAAGGCGCCCTGGTCTCGACTTTGACGCTTCAGGCGGAGGGAAACTGCTGGCAGATTATGTGTCGATAGGAAGTGCCCACGAAGCAGGAGTTCAATGGCACACACCAAGCAAACTGACAGGAAAGTTCACAGAGGCCATTGGGGCACAAGGCTTAGGCTTTATGGGTTTCGCTTCGGTTGCGCTTTATGTGAACACCTGGCATTGAAGCCCAAAAAAGGTCATAGCCCCAACGCTGTTCTGCACTCGCTGCCTTGCGAGCCCCTGTGCTGAATCATTTGCTGAGGGCCCGACTTTGTATAAGCTGCCTGCCTGAAAAGAGCGAGGAAGGTCTGGCTTCGGGTTACGCCACCAGCCACCTTCTGGACCCTACCCCCCTAGACTCATGAAGAACGGCCCAGAATGGCTTGTTTTCCTGTTCTTCAAAAGACAACATGTTTAGCTGTCGTTGAGGCCTCCCCTCCCCCACCCAGATCAGAAAAGGGCGGGTGCGAACAATGAAGGACGCAACTGGGACACCTGCGCATGGTCAATTAAAACAAGTGCGATCTTCGAAAGTCATGTTTGCATTTTTGTTGTGTTCTTGGCCATGCCAAGTTGCTGCGCAAAATCACGTAAGTCTTCAAGCACAAGATGCCAGTTTAACTACGCCACTACGCTCGACGAAAAAAGGTCATGCCGCACAATTAACGTATTTTCCTAAAACGAGGCCTTGCCAGCATCTTCTGAATGGCGTCCAATGGTCCTGGCACACTCAGGTTCAGGGGGGGGGGGGGGGTCGGGGTTGTCGCTAGGCATGTTTCGGGCATGGGTGCCATAGTATGACATATGATGTAAGCCGCCATAAGCCCCAAAAAATAAACGAAAGGGTTAGGCCGGGGATTTGGATGCCCTTGGCTCTTGCTAGAAGCAAAAAATCTAAACAAGTGTTCAGTCGCGGAAGCACGTCTTATTATTCTCGCTTCGAGGTCGCAAGGGTGATGTCATTTCAGAACATGGCCCTCAACTAGCTCACAGAAATTCCTTTAGGTCGCTATTGTGCAATGACGCTACAGAGGAGCATGAAGTCCAGAACGACGCTCAAATTAACACCCAGAGCTTTTGCAAGGTCGCTGTCCAGTTTCGGCCATGGCCCTTGCCATCAGGGCCAACCAGCTGATGCCTAAGTTGTCGTACGCAGGCATTAGGCTACCTGGCTTAGAGTCTGAAAAAGAATTCTTCACCGAGGGCTCCACTTCTCAAAGGGACTGCCATCGCGGCAGCTCGGGTACAGCGTCTTGTCCCAACCTTATCTTGGTGGCTTTTGGGATTCAAGTCCGATGGTTTGCCTCGTTCTTCATCTACATCTCAACTACATAACATCTCGAACCACGGTGTGACTGGTTCGGTATCCTTACTTACTCACCCAGGACACCAAACCCTTCCTGGCGCTTGCAACCCTTCTGCAGCAGGCTTTGCAGGAACACCTGCCTGGAAAATCCTCATCCTTTGACTTTCGCGCAACACAGCGGTCATGTCTAAGGCAACGAGTCCAGCTTACGATATTTCGAGTCACACTTAAGTGCACCAAACCCCTTTGGCTTTACGCTTGCCACTTTTGTTGAACCCAGACTTCTGTCCTCATCAGCTGGGGTCGGGGCACACTGCGTTGCACCCTTAGCCTTCTAAGATCTTGCGTGCCCATCCCGTACCTCTTTATGAGGGGCCTTTTCACGGGCAGACCACGAGCAAGGGAACTAATTTGTTCCAAGATAATTCCTTTGCTTGGAATCCATGCTAGCGGCGCAAATGAGAGTTCATTCCATTGTTAAACCTCCTAGAGTCTTGCGATCCTTCTGGTGATGGCTCTGAAGCTGTTCGGTCCCAAAATGGCAAAAGGCAGCATCTTGTTCAGGAGGGCTTCTCAATTAGCAAAAAGAAAACGTCCGAGGGGCAAGCCCGAAATCTGGGATGTTTTTAGTTTTTTCTAGTTGTTTCTAGTGTTTTCTAGTTTTTTGCTAGTTGTTTTTAGTTTTTTTTTGCTTCTTGTAGTTTTGCCTTGTGTTTCTTAGTTTCTGTTGGTTTTCGCTTTCCATAATTATTCTTGCTCTAGTTCGGCTTTGCTTGGTTTCCTTTGGTTCTGGCAGCTTCCTTATTGGAGTCGTGGGGTCTTCTGCAGACCAACCGAGGCCACACGTGGTTCTTTCTGGAAACTCTTTGGTGTGCGACCAGGAGCCATGGAATTATTTAGCTTTACTTAGGTCTGCTTAGCTTTCCTTAGCCTCCTCAGTTTTGGGCCCATATGCTGAGATATTCCTTCTCGTTTCCTTCACTGCCGAAAAAGCCCTATATATATATATATAGCGGTATGGGATGGGCACCTATGATAAGACCTTGACCGGACAGAGCTCCTGGTTCAACAGTCTGCGCCGGGCTTCGGGCTCCCACCCTCGAGGATCTGAAAGCTGTCCCACTCCTCGCAAAAGCAGCTTCGTTTTGCCACCCGCACTCAGGGTTTGGGATTCTGGGTTTAGTGACCCAAAACGAGAATTCGGCAAAACGAGAATTCGGCAAACCCGCGCGTGAGAGTTTGGCGGCTGGACCCCTGAGCGCGCACAGGATGGCGAGCTGCCGAAAACATCCACCCTTCATGTAAAGGGTATGGCTTCTAATTTCGCCAATCGTTTCCTGCAAGCCCTGCCCCCCCAAAATCCTAAAACCTCTTCTAACCTGGAACAGTCCCAAACCCCAAACCCTAAACCTTGCACAACAAGCACTGAGAAACCTTAGACTTGGGCCTGTTGGCTCAGGCTGACAATGTAGAAGAAATGGGAGCCGTCCCACTTCCTTGGCTTAGTTGAACAGACAGCGCCGTCACTTAGGTGTATTACTGAGCCCCTGGCATGTCGTTGCCCTGGAAGTCATCCCAGGTCCTCAGCTGCTGAAGCCATGACTGAGGGAGCAAGTTGTGGCAATATGGCTGAGAGCATCATGCGCTCGGCTCCCGGGCCCCATAATCTTGTAACTCTTCGAGCCGAAAACGAAGCACCTGAGCATCGGAGGAGAGCACGGACAGGGAGCAGAGCTGCCGGAACACCCCTACAGTAGGCCCTACAGGCTCCAGTGTGTGGTGGTTGAAGCCCCCTGACCTTCCGAAACCCCGAGCGCAGAAAGAAAGGCCCGGGGTGGGTCTATATGGACTATAGGGTACCTATACAGGGTAAAAAAAGGGGGACCTGAGGCCAGGTTGGACCCATATTTTAAGTCCCCTTAAAAGTAGCAAAAATTGAGGGGCTTTTAGGTAGTATCTGCCCCCCCCCCCCCCCATTGCTAATTATAGCGATTCCTAATACTTAACACGCCCGCAGCTTTTGGCCCATGAACCGCTATAGAGGTGGGTTCGATAAGGAGGGCTTTGGGGAGCCGAACGCATTGGCGGCGCTCATTTTGTCCTTCCGGGCTCCTGCGGTCTCCCTGTGGCCAGGCGTCCTGAAGGCCGGACTGGGACTTTGGCGCTAGCAGAGGCTCCTTTATCATCTTTCGTTTCGAATTTGAGGCTCATAACACTTGGGTTTAGGGCTTAGGAGTTTGAGGTCTGCCACCCGCCTAAGTAACTCAATTTGCAAGGGACCGCGGACCCGGAGTCACTTCGGGCGATGCTAGGAGCCTCCCTGGCCATCAAGCTGAGCCCAAACCTCCATTTGTGCGGCATCTGCTGCTACACCCCTGAACTTCAACTTTGCTGTGGCCACCGCCCCGTGCAAGTCTCCATCAACAAACGCACAAAACTCCGATTACCCTCTTAGACTCCAAACCCTCGATGGATGCGATCCTAAATCCCGTAGACCCAAGCTCTGACGCCTACTCAGGAGCTCCACAGACCCTTCGCAACAAAGCCGAGTCCTTGAAGGGCTGGAGCCCGGCGCACCGCCAGCCGCAAACGGGCGGAGCGGCTCCTCACACAGGGCGGAACACAGATACGCGACCTGCAGAGAACAACCCAGACAGCTCGGTGTTCATGGCATTCGGATTCTGATAGGAGTCCGATTGGTGGTTCAGTGAGAATTCGACAGCACTCCGGCAACCTTGTGGCCTACACCCAAGAGAGGATTGCATGGCGTTCCATTTTGGGGCTTTGCACTACAGGACCTATATGGAACCCAAGAGATGCTCCGGGCTTTAAGGCCCTACACCTTCATGGGTGTTCGGGTCCTACTGTACAGAATGGGGTTCAGGGGGTATGTGCTAGGAGCACCTTGCACATTCACAAATAGCCTTCGGGTGTCCAACGGCGCCAGCCCTAAGGTTCCTTCCGTCTGTTCTTGCCTCTCGCCCTCTTGCCGAAACCCTGTGCAACTCAACCCTATAAACTATAAACCCTAAACTTCCAGACCCCCCCCCACCCAACGTACCCCCACAAACAAAGCACACTGAGCCTGGGGTTTCTTGAGAGCTCGGCCAGCCCGGGACGCAGCCCCTTCCGTCTGAAATTACGGAGGGTTGAGCTCTCTAGGGGTCTAGGCGGTTTAGGGTTCAAGGGTCTAGGGCACATTGGATTGATGTAAGGTCTGATCGCTCACAGGGTTTAGTGCTCTGCACGAATCCGGTGCGACTGGCGAAAGGGGCGAGGACATGCAATGCTTGTTGGGAATCTGGCTGTCGCCCTCAAGGCTTCAATTCTGCATGGCTCTACACCCCTTCTCAGCCTCAGACTGCAGGCTGTTCATGAAAGTCGGTACCCCAATATCCAGCACCCTACATGCGAAAACACAAATCAGCAAACACAGCCAAATCTTCCAAAATTCTCTGCTGATGCCCTCTCACTCCAAAACCTCCAACTCCTCGGACAAGCAGTTTGTTTGCTTCGTTTGGGACC